ACACTGCTCCCACGGGCTGATGGTGGTTATTCGTATTATGGCGCCTTTGACCATAGACAACATTAGTTTCTTTAATAAACCAATAACTTTTTAAATAGACATCATAAATACAAAATTTTAATAAAGCAATAACTTTTTAAAATATTTATATAAGTAACAAATAATTTTTTATAGGGACAAATTTGAAATATTAGGACATTTTTAAGTTATGTTAAGGAAGGAGGGAGAGAGAGAGAGAGAGAGAGAGAGAGAGAGAGAGAGAGAGAGTATTTTTCTATTTTAAATAATTTGTAGCATGTATAAAAATTTGTCTTGTGGTTTAGTCAGAGTTGTATTTATATCTGAAGGTAGAGAAAACACAAGAAAGAGTGGATTGAATTGGGTTTATAGAAAACATTCCTCTTTAAAAAATTCTAATTACTTAAATGATAAAAGCTATAAAGATAATAAAGAGTAAAGAACATAAGTGGTTTATCCAGGTTCACCTTAACAAGGTTAATCCTGTCCACCCCTCAACGTGATTTTCCTTTAACAATGACTTAATCCACTATAACCAAACTGATTACAAATGCACGGGAAACTGTCGGCGACTTAGTGAAAATGACACGTTCATTGATCCAACTTAACATTTATAACTTTCATTGACCCAATAGACCAGATCACTTAAGATCTCCATTCAGGATTTTTCACAATGACCAACAACCATTATCTTCTTGAGATCAGACTTTCACTCAGTCACTCAAGGAACCTTTTAATGATATGTTCAGTGATCCGATTTTACGAATATAATAACCAGTTACCCAACAAAATCAGATCACTTATGATCTCCTATTAGGATTTTCTACAATAACCAGCAACCACTGTCTTCTTGAGATTAGACCTTAACTCAGTCACCCAAGGAACCTTTTAATGATATGTTCAGTGATTCAATTTAACGAATATAACAACCATTGGCCCAACAGAATCAGATCACTTAAGATCTCCTATTAGGATTTTCTATAATGCCCAGCAACCACATTCTTCTTGAGATAGACCTTCACTAAGTCACTTAAGGAACCTTTCAATGACATGTTCAGTGATCTGATTTAACGAATATAACAATCATTAACCCAACAGAACAATATCACTTAAGATATCCTATTAAAATTTTCTACAATGATCAGCAACCACTATCTTCTTGAGATCAGAACTTCACTTGGTCACTCAAGGAATCAATCAACAATGGTTGATAGGGTTTTGTGTTTACATTATTCCTTCTTCTAAGCAGATTATTCAAGTGATTAAGAACATATTGTTTAACACAATTCCGAGGAACAACTCTTGTGTTAAAATAATTTACATGAAGAGATTTGAACCATAACACAATACGAGCAAAAAATCTTGTATAAATTACAATGTTCTACCAAGATGTATTTAATTACAAGTTAGGTAGCATCTTGTAGTGTTCTTCTTCTTCATCTTCTTGTTTAGGAAGTTATGAGCAACAACTGCTTGCTTCTTTTGAGATCTACCAAGAAGTATATTATGATAGTTTATGTAGAATCTTGTAGATTTCTTCTTCTTTATCTTTCTTTATTTTCTTTCATTTATGTGTAGTGGTCTTCAGCATGTTTAACATTGCAGCTTTAACAGCTTCAGTATCTACGTCTTTTGAGCTTGATTGCCAAGAACACTTTACTTCAAATCTTTGATCTTCTTTTATAGCCTTGAGAGAGATATGTTGTGAGGATTAAAAAATCCTTTCCTGCATCAACGGTTAGTCCCCAACAAATAGAATAAGGTGTAAGAGTTTGGACATCACAAAGTGATATTATTCATTGTATGTCACTTTACAATGTTTAACTTTTAATCTTATCTTCAATAAATATTTTTCTACTTAGCTTGTAGACATAGATTTGTCAAGGGTAGAAAGATGATATGGAGAACATATGTTTGTTCCCAACGGTCATAATGAGGGTGGTTGACAATACAATACGAAAGGACCATCTTTACGCCACCCTAGAGGGTAGAGGTCACAGAGAACTCTTTGTGCCTTTTGTATACCATCACATGTTAACCATTTTGAACTTCTTCTGATTTTTAAAGGCTTCAAATAATTTGAATTTTTCAAGCTTGTTGTATAAGAATCACTCTTAAGTCTTCGAACCTATGTCTTGGAGTCTTCAGAACTTGTCCCATCAAAACCTTGTCTTGAGAGTCTTCAGCACTTGGTCATAAGAACTTGTTTTTCTTCAGGTCATCAGAACTTGTTCAGCAGAGCCTCATCTTCATAATGTTTAGAATTTGGAACACACAGAAGCAAAGCTTTAGAAAGATTCCAAATCTTAACCACAAAGTCACAATTAGAACCTCTTGTACTAACTTTCCTAAGAACTGTTGCATAAGACGAATTCCAAAATCTTGACTTCCACTGTAACACGTAACCAAATGGTTTCTTCCAGTAGAGTTTATGTTCAAAATATGATGATGTCATACGCCTTGATACTAGAGTTAGAATATTATAGCAATAACTACACACTAGAACGAAACCATTAGAGTATACCATTTTTCTTTATGATACCATGTAAAGTTATCATCAAAATCTTAAGGCCAGATGTAGAAACACTTCTTGTTCTTACAATCTCCCCCTTTTTGATGATGACAAAACCATGTATTTTGATTAAAAAAATTATAGATGATAATCACCGTAATTGACAAATTCAGAGTTAAGCTCACATCTCCCCCTGAATTTGTTAATCCAAAAATTTCATTTATGCTTGTTGGGGGTCTCCCCCTGAGCCCAAGACTCACAAAATAAATTTTTAGTTTTCAGAACATAGAACTTGAGAAGGAAAAATTCCCTATAATAAATCATCAGAGTCTGACTAGAACACTTGTTCTTCATCTCAGAACTTGGTTTCTATCAGAACTTGATAAAGAATCAAAAATTGATTTTGAGCCTGGTTGAATAATGCCACACATCATGTATCAGCACTTACATTTCTTGATTCTAATATCACAATAAAAACCCTATAATTTTGGAGAACTTCACTACTTCTTAAGCATCAACTTTTGACATGATATTTTCCAATATATCACACATTCAGACAGTTCATAACTTCTAAATAGAACATACATTGCAGAAGCACACGTATCAGAGCACATGTATCAGAGCCTATCTTCTGAGTGGCGTCTCTGTATTAGAGTATGCATCAGAATGTTGAATTGATTTCCTTTGAGGAGGGCATAAATTCTAAAGCTTTATGTATGAATTCCATACTTTCATAAAGTTCACAACTTCTTAACAATATGATATCAAGCAAGATTACCTTACTTTCAGTAAGTTTATAACTTCTGAATTGTGTTTGGTACATCTGTTTGAATATACATATATTCACAAAGTGTACAACTTATTATATATGAAATCAGAGTTGATTTTATCTATATGTTTCTCAACCTTAGACATCAAAATCTTCATATTCAACCCGTCTTAGAATACTCAGTGAACTTATTCTAAGTTCCTAGATTGAAATATCAAACAAATAGTTATAGCAACAATTCTCCTGATGCATTCAACAATTCCTTCTCTAAAGAAGATCTCAGAGAGAACTATTCCAAAAGGTATGATGGACTTAAATTCATTTATGGAGAGTGTGATGGACTTTTGCAGAAAATTGAAGATAGTCAGTGGCAAACTTATCTGAATATCACTGACCAGTAAAAATAGAAGAAGTCGATTGTCATGAGACATAATATCTTTGTGAACTCTCCTAGGACGAAAATTAGTTAATAGGAACTTGGACCAACTTTTTGGAATGGGGAGAAGAGTTTCGGGATTGTTAGGCTCATAATTGGATGTTGAGTTGTGGAGAGTAATGGGATCTTCATCAAGAAAATATTGACTCTTAACATATTCAACAGTAAAACCAACATTCTCATAACCAGTAGCAAGAATAATTAAAAAGGGGGTGATGGTTATGAGAACACCGAAGACACGAGAAGCAATGGAGCAGCCTTAACACACAACGCATACATGTTTCCAGAAGTATTTGACAAGGTATGTGTATTCATGTTTATCCAACATGGTGAAGTAATTAGTCCATTCTTGAGAGTAAATGACAGAGGTCATACTGCAAGCAATTTTTCTATTACCAAGATGACGAAGCTTGATTTGTTCTTCAGTTATGACTTCAAGAAGACTCACATCTCCATATAAAGTAACTAGAGGCGTGATGAAAAAGAAGACACTACAAGAAAAATGATAGATTGGGACAGTTATTTTGGCTGATTACGACGGTTAAAACCGTCGCAATTTACAATCTACGACGGTAGAAGTACCGTCGCAGAATCGTGCGTCCCCAGCCTATTTCGCGACGGTTGCAAAAACTGTCACGCACAACAGATGGCGACGGTTATATACCGTCGTGAATTTGACTTTATTTTTTGTTTTTGTTGTTGTTTGCGACGGTTATATACCGTCGTGAATTTGACTTTATTTTTTGTTGTTGTTGTTTGCGACGGTTATATACCGTCGTGAATTTGACTTTAACCATCGTAATCTGATTTATAAATTTCAAATAATATTTTTATTTAAATTATTATTTAGTAAAATAATTTTAAATATAATATTATTTTACTATAATATTTTACTATTATATTTAAATTATTATTTACTTTAATATTTTTTTATTTATAGTATTTTTATTTTATTTTCTATCACTTTTCAACATTGTTTTGAAATGAGCAATCCAATTGTTTTGAAATATTTACTAACTCAGTATTATTAATTCAGTTGGGAAACCATTTGTAAAATAATGCAAGGAGACATTGCTTTTGCTATTGAAGCGTGAGATTTCCGTGAGATACCAGTACTTATTATTGGGAGAAAAGATTTATGAATTATTGCACATTGTAATATGCTTATACCACCTTATAACTTTGCTACAAGTTACCTATAACAAGTGAGATTTTCCGATTTTCAGGAACTATAACAAAAAGAGGTTAGCTCCGAAATCTCTTGATCATTTTGCAATCTTTGCAGCCATTTCTCTGACCAACTTAGCAGCTACCATAGCAGTCATTCCATCAACAGTATCGCGTTGTGGGTTGAGTTCAACGACGTCTCCAGCAACAACATCACCTTGAAGATTGTGTAGGATGTTAAGAACATCGCGGAAAGAAAGACCTCCCGGTTCAATATGAGACACTCCCGGAGCAAATGCAGGATCAAGACAATCCACGTCTATCGAGATATACACCCCTTTCACACCTTCCCCTAGTTTCTGCACAAGGAAATCACCAAGGTTTAAAAAGAACATACAAATGCACAAGTTAGTATCAATACATGCACACTCGGCATCAAGGGCACTTGTAGCTTCATCAAGAAGTAATATTTTTGGATCTTTCAAAATTGCTCTTCCAATTGCAACTCTTTGCTTTTGACCTCCCTAGAGTTGAGTTCCATGTTCACCAACCATTGCGTCTAGTCCCTAAGATCATTAACCATATTTAAACAAAATGATTAAATAAAAAAGAACACGCTCAATATGAAGGGGCAGAATATTTCAAACTGTAAAATAGAATTTACTATGACGTTACATGTACATTCAGGAGGAACATGAATACCTTGTACTAATACAGTGAATTGATCGATGAAGCTCCAGCTTGGAGGAATAGAAGCAAGCAATTAGTTGTTATGCAATGTACTCATACTCCTTCATGTAATATTAACATCAACCATGAAACTCAATCACTGTCATACAGGTTAACATAAACAATAATAATTGAAAGCATGAATTTAAAAAAAATGTGAGCAATAATCACTTACAAAATAAAGAAGAATGCAAACAACCCCGATGAAAATGTAAGCAGCGCAAAATTGAATCTGTAACCTTGATAAAGGCCAAATCTAGCGATTAGAGTTCCTATGTTATAACTGATACAAATTAAACGAAAAGACTCGAATTTCAATAACACTTACTACAAATATTTCACTCACATGTGTAGTAGTGTAAATAAAACAACAAACATTAAAATTGTCATTTGTTAGGAACATACAAATGCACAAGTTAGTATCAATACATGTTTGGAATTTACTATGCGCACGCATGCGTACGTGCATATATACACGAGCATACAAACACGGAGGCAGAGAGAGACATACCAGGTCCTCTAGGAAGGGGCGATCTCTGGAAAATGTTCGCATTTCATTTTGCTTGTGCACGTCCTTCAGCTGTTATTGATCGAATACCAACCTGAAATGTATTAAAAAGCATTGTTTTGGCAAAAGGTTACAGTTTATAGTTTCAACAAAATCACGGCGCCACCTTGATTTTATACTTATCAACAATAAAAGATTACCTGCAAGAGTCGCCGAACATAGTCACCCTCCATGACACGAGCAAAGGAAGAAGCATGCGAATAAATGTTCCCTTCAAATGCATCATAGTTGTCAGGATGCGCATCAATATGAAGAACATCAACTGGTCCTCCAAGCTTCTCCGAGACAGCTCTAATAACTGGAAATGATATTGAGTGATCACCACCTAAAACTAAGGGTCTTAGAGGAGCCTGAAAGAATATAAACAACACGAGGATCAAGCAAGTTCGAACAGAAATTTATCTGCAAAATGTTATAGCATTTCACATGATAGTGGAGTGAATGCTAAGAAACAATATATGAGGATGATAAAGGTGTACTTTTTTAATTCAAAATCATAAATTGACAAATTTACCTCTTCCATCACTAACTTGACAGATTCGCCAATGACACTCATCAATCTTTTATCATCTACGCCACAATCTCGAATTTCTTGAATAGGGACGTCACCGACATCAGTTAGCACTCGTGAGTCTTTTAAATCCTTACCTGCAAAATCAAAATAGTATTGTTACTACAAGCTTATGATTATCATATATAACTATAGGGTTGATACAAGAAGCACGACGGCACTGAAAACTGAGATTGCAGTTAAAAACCAGTATTTTCTGCGAACCACGATTGACAGCACTGAAATAGAATACTGATGAACAGACATTGTTACAACAATCTGTGTTATTATCAAGTCATTATAGAGCACAATTTTAGCCTATATCTCTTGAATGCAAAGGTGTTTAGAGTATGGAAAATCAAACATGCTCTCAGTTTGCTTGCACACCAAGGTTCAATTGTTCAATAAGTCATTTCTTGGTATGCTTTCATGTAAATTAAAAACACCTTCACAAACTTTCACTCATACATTATATAGCACCGACACTTCAGATGAAAGGCGTGTCTGGCATTTCACGAATATCATTTGGAATACTTCTATTTTCAGTGTTTCATTTCACATTACATTCTGTTATGATGCAGTAGCATCTATGTATAGGCACAGCTAACCATAACTAACTCTCTTATGTCAGTTACAACAGCTGGCTACAGCTGGCAAGCTTAACTCTAGCACATGTCTAAAAGCTAACTAATGCAATAACCAACTGACTAATCTAACAAGAGTGATTCCAGACGCATAAAATTATAACTACAATATAGACCAATTTCATTATATGAGTAGTTGCTTTTAGTTGTGTTTGCCTAAGGTAGTAGGTTTGGAAAAGGTAACAGAAGAAAGGAACTTTAATTCCACATACTCAAGAAAGGTACGAGTCGGTCTCTATAATTATATCTTTCAATAGGCTTATCATTTTCAACAAATAAGACATGTAGATCCATTATTATTTATAAACACATTCAAGGAAAGGTTCTTCGCTCTTCAAGACTAAATTTTTAAAGAGGCAGTTATGAACTGATAAGTAACAATATTACAAAGCCAAACTACATTATTATTTATAAGTATTAAAATTATCTGTCAAATAGAATCTGTAATTAGCTACGGCATAGTTATTTGGGGGTTCCTACTTATTCGACATAACAGACACACGTAGAACGACGTAAAATATTTGTTAGCAATAGAAAAGAAAAGAATTGAGGAAATGGAAACTAGGTAGTTAAGACTAAGAGATTTTATCAAAGTCTAGCAATGATTCGCTGATATTTCTTGAAGCAACGTACAAGTAAATACCTGAAAGTACAGTTTTTAAAGTTTGGGTTTAAATTCTTTAGTTGCATATTAATACCAAATTTTCAGGAGAGTAAACATAGTTATTCTATACTGAGTGTGGGATTAGCTTTGCATTATTTGGGAGTCATTTCATTTGTCAAGTGTAACTTTAGATTTTTCGGCAAGACAAACTAGAATCACCTATCAACATATAAAATATATATGTTCTGCTTCTCTTAGATGACAATCACCAAGACTATTTCTTGTCTAGTTAAGTATTAAAGTAGAATGTTATTGAATTTTTTCAGATCACAGTTTTGTGATTTCTCATAGATGAATATTCAGTAGAATTGCTAGAGCTATTAGTTGAATTTTTAGATCATATTTTGAGTAAGCCATTCAAATAACTATAAATGATTTAAATAGAAAAGGTCCCTACTAACCATCCACTATAATTTTCAGTCCACATTTTCGGTTTATTGTCAGAGTTTGGTGTGAATTGATCGCAGTAAAATCCATTTCATGTGTTAATCTGTGAGTATTTAAGATAGAATATTACAAAACTTAACAATCAAGTAGTAAGATAATCCAGTAAAACATAAACTGCATAAAACTCTCTGGATAGGTAAAAGGAGAAAACATACAATTGGATCAGGCGCGTTTACTTGCTGGCACATAACCCAGGGAACACCTGTATCAAGAGATGTAGCCATCGATGCTGCCCAATTGATGTAAGATTTACCAGCAGGACCATAGTGTATATCAACGTTTCCATACTCATTTTCAATCTGGCATACCAAATAACTGAGCAATAATTTCCTTAAAAAAAGAAAATTGGCTTGTATTTTGATGATTTTAAGAGAATGAAACCTGAGATAAAATGATAGGTCCTCCTTGTGATGCATAGAGATTCTCTTGCTTCATCAAATCCACAATCTTTGCTGTAAACCGTTTCATTTCTGCCTTGAATGGTTCATTATCAGTTCTGAACTTAATTCCCGGAATTAGTCTTTGTTGAACCCAATATCATGACACTGAATGAAACTTATGAGGTCTTTGAGAGCTAATACATTCAAGTATTTTTCTTGTTGAATATGACCAACAATTTTGAATCTGAGTGTAGCTTTTGTTTAGAATTTTGAATCCTAAATATGGATTCCATGTAATTTATAAATTGTTGTTGTAGTCCAAAACAGGAACCTGATTATTTTAGGGTCTGGCACTAGTTTTAGGTGATGTGTAATGGGAAGTAGCCACTCAAACCTTACACAAGTGGAAGAGGTTAAAAGAGAGATTTAATCAAATGAATATAATTTGAAGGACTTCATTAATCAAGGCACATATATATTTGAGAGAGTTCAGCATTGAGTGAGGAAAAACAATCTCAGTCAGCTCCTGGAAGAAGTTTCTGACTAGATTGCCTGCTGGTTGTTCCAAAACTTTTAACACCTGCAGGGATGATTCTGGATGGTGACAACACCTCTGCAAACGAAAATTTATACGAATCTGTACCTAATCTACTCTGTAACCACCCTTTGCCTCCAGAAAATCCATCACCAATGGTCCATGAGTTCTTAAATCCAAGCCTCGTTAGCGTTCTTGCAACTATCTTTGCTGAGTCTGAGTACCTATATATTAAGTTTTGTCCAAATATCACAAGTTAAACTAAAAATAAAGTTAATAAGTATTGAGAGTATGTGCAAAACGATATACTGGCACAACAACGATAAGCATTGTTACATTTAATAATTCCATTTTTGAAATTATTATGTGTCAGCATCGCGTCCGTGTTTGAGTCAGTAGTTCATAGATAATAGGATGGATTTGTAAGGAAACTTACGAGTCCAAGATCACAATGTTGGAGCCTTTGTTGATTTTCTTTAGATATGAAATCTTTGGTCACTCAAATAAACATGCTTTGGTCAGAATCACACTCTGCAACAGAATATGATGCTTAAATGGTTATAAAGTCCTTTTACAACACCCACTAGGCACTATATAGCATAGCATATCAGAATTCTATAAACTCAGCCATACCTTGAGTTGAGCATTACAACAAACACTTGATGAGCATCCTCTCTACTCATTCCCTTCTTGAACATACTGATGTTACGGGACTCCAATCTTCAACTAGGAATTTTAACAAACACCTTGACACCAATGGCAAAAGACACCAGCGTCAACGTGCTACTGGACTCCAATATTCAACTATGCATTTTCACAAACACCTTGACACTAATGGAAAAAGACACCACCGTTAGCCTCTACAATAACACCATCGCCATCACTGATCTAAAGCTCCATCATCTAATGTCAAAGCTCCGACGGGATCAAAAATTGTGATCTAAACAGTAGGATGATCGAAGACTTTAACTTGCATATTAGTGAGAAACATCAAAACACCCCCGAGATCAAACACGGTGATGAAGTCATAGTGGTGATTCAAATACCCAAAATTATTTTCATTTGAGAGTGAAAGAATCAAAATATGAGATTTCATTACCTCCTTTGTGATGACGAGTTTGTGACTTGCTGATTCCAATCTTGATGACATTGAATCTTGTGCGATGAAGACCCTTGCGGAACGATTAGTAGCAGAAAAGGAGATTTTGAAAACCTAACATCAATTCAACATTAGATGACCTTCCACGGGGTGGCAAGCTTTAGAGAATAGGGAAGTTTTGTTTCTCTTTCAGTTGGTGATTGGGGATTGGCATAGTTCTCTTTTCTCTCGTATGCCCGGAAAATCAAATTGCGGTACAACTCAGCTTTTTTTAACTTTTTTACGGCGACGGGTGTTTTACCGTCGTGCCCATGAGAATTTTTAAAGGTTTTGGGTGCGACGGTTGTTTTACCGTCGTGAAATGAATTTTAGGACGTATAATTTTACCGTCGTGAAAGGTTTAAGGGTGCGACGGGTGCTTTACCGTCGTGATATGCCTTTTAGGACGGTTAATTTTACCGTCGTGACTAGTTGTTGGTGAAAAATCAATGTTAAAAGTGTTAAATGGGGGCCGACGGTTGTTTTACCGTCGTAATAATAATATTATGATGGTTAAATATACCGTCGCAAAATAAATATTAGGGACGGTTGGTGTCAACTGTCGTAAACACTGTCGCTATATGTCAATTACGACAGTTATCACATAACTGTCGCAATTTTTGTGTCGTTAAACACTAATTTTCTTGTAGTGAGAAGAGATATACAATTTATATGATAATAAAATCATTCAATAATTCAAGGGAAGAGAAAAGAGATGTATTTATAGATAGAAGATGGAAGACCTGACTGACCTGGACAAATGACATAGGTTGAGAGGCGTAACACACATAAGATTTTCTAAGGACATATAGACAAGTTAGGACAAAATAATTATAGCTAGGGTCAGAAGAAGTGCTAGAAAACTTAAAGAGAGATTATGACACAGAGTAAAGCAAGAAGGCTTTTATCTATTTCCAAGAAAACTATGTCTTTCAAAGTGTCATATTAAGGAAGAAGATTTGGAAGTTACAAGAGATAAAACACACCATTCGAAGCTTTGTTATTACTATTTAATACCATAAGGACTTTAATCCCTAGACTTTTCTTTTTAAAGCGTAGATTCACAGTTACTTTAAAATTTATTAAAATTAGTTATTTTGGCTTAATTTTTCTTGAACCTTGTTAGAAGTTCTTATTATAACCTTTTGAGAGCATATATGTTTGTTTTAATATTTTTACCTTTATTGTTCAAGACAGTTTAGTTATTTCTTGGAATTATTTTTAGTATGATCCGAAGATAAACTTTGTAACACCCAAATTTTATTTACTAATTATTTTATTAGTATTTATTTTGTTAATTATTATTTGATTGATAATTATTTAATTATTTGATTTTGTGTGATTATGTGAATAATTTGATTTAATTGGAGTATATTTGTTATTTGAGTAATTGGGTTAGTAAGTCTGAGAATATCATTATTAAGTATTGGGTTTTATATGTCACAGTAATGAGTGGGTGAGATAAGTCCAATAGAGAAAACAAGGGTTAGTAAAAGTTATAAAACAAAATAGAATTAGAAGGGAATTAACAAGAGAATAGAAGAGGAGAAAAGAGGAAGAAAGGAAAAGAACCCTAGAAGTATCTACATCTAAGGTAAGGGTGAGTATTCATTAATTTATGGGTGTATGTAATGGTATATGATGGATAGTAACATGAATTTAGGATTTGTTCTTCAATTTCTAGATTTTGACATGTTAAGGTTTGAATGTAGAATCATGAAATTGATGTTGGAAATTATGTTTTGATGTTTGTATTTAATGTTATATGTTAGATATAGGTTATAATACATTTAATTGGTGGAATATATGTGTTTGAATGAGATTTGGATGAATAATTTCGTATGGGGCAGAAGCTGTCCGCAGTAGAATTTTTCTGCAATTCGTAGAGGCTACTTAGCACGGTATAAGACGCTTAGTGCTGTCTAGGATTCAAAAAAATTTATTTTATGAAACTGTTCTAGATTATGTATGCTTATGATTTATCATTAATTTACATGAATTTTAATAATTTATTCTATGTGTTTTGGATTGGTTTTGGATGATTTTAGATGAGAAACAAGATATTTGTTTTGTGTATGTAATTGTTTGGAATTGATGTTGATTGAAGATAACATGGGTTGGACTTGTTTTTTACATGTTATAATGATGTGTTGGGATGATTAATGTTATGATAATGCATTGTGTGTGATTGATGACATGAAATATGTATGTTGCGCAATTTGGTGAAGATAATTCAAATATGTTGAATTATGTGAAATATGCTTGTATGATTAAAATACTGAGATGGCCTTAATTGCATATGATTATTGAGATTTCATATGTACATGCACCATTTGTGTCAAGAGGAAATGTTTGGTAATTTCATGGGAATTAGTGGCTTGTCCCAAATCTAACGCTGAGGGGTTTGAAAGCTTAAGGTTGAATTGAGCTTTTATTGGTCGTTATTTGTCTTGGAGATGTTAACCCGACTAGACCGATAAGGATAAAAATTGGTACCACATGCATATTGCATCATTGAGTTGCATTGGAGTCACATTTGTCGATGTGAAATATTATGTTAGTGTGCTATATGTAATATCGACGTGAATGTTATATTTGTGGTAATTGTCAATTGATTATCTTAGAATATTAAACCGTTGAGCAATGTTGTATATGTAATCATGTGAATTATGTAGAAGTATGTTGAATACATGATTATGTGAAGTGTGATGAATTCAATTGATGTATGTATGAATTGCATTACTTATTATTATTATATATTTATATAATGATATGAATTCTCACCCTTATGTTGGAATGATGTTTTATACGACACCGCTCAGGTACTGAAGATAGTAGTGCTTCTTGCAAGGAGTAGTTGGAGCAGCTAGTCCTTTATTTATCTATTTTACTAGGTAGTGAGTCATGCTCTGGTCTATGTAATATGGGGAACATTTGGATTCATGTTATTTTAATTATATTCATGTTTACTTGAGAGATGTTGATATACTCTCTAGATATTTGTGTTGGATTGAGATTGTATATGGTGATGGCCTTTAGTTCCTAATATTTTGTGATATGATTGTCAATATGGGATTTCAATCATTAGTATTATTTTGAAAAAAAATTAATCCGCTGCGAGATGCATATTTGTTAGTGTATGGAACATGATTTTAAATGTGCGTTATGAATATGACCAGTGTATTTCTTGAGTTGCGTGAAGTAATTGTGACACCCTTTTGATATGCATGATATTACTCTGATTATGCCATTTATTTTATGCAGGGTTTAAAGGGTGTTACATTAGTGGTATCAGAACATGGTCAGTCAGTTGGCCAGGTTATTAATATGTTTATTTCCTTTTGTATTCAATATGTGTCATATATACAATTGATATTGTTTGTATGATGAGTGTTGTTGGTTGTTTGGTTGTTCGGAATCTCAGGATGATGGTTGCAGGAAAGAATTATTATGGTATTGCTGAGGAATTGACATTGTTGGCTAGTGCGATTGGTCAGACTCCTAATGTGAATGCTGGCAACAGAGATGATGATGAATTATGTGCTTTGAGGAAGTTCTAGAGGAACAATCTGCCATTTTTTGAAGGAGCTCATGAACCTGACAAGGCACAAGTTTGGATGAAAGCGATTGAGAAGATCTTTCGAGTTATGAATTGTTTGGATGCGCAAAAGGTGCAGTTTGGTACCCATATGCTTGAGTAGGAAGATGAGGATTGGTGGAACAATACTGCTTAGAGATTTGATAAAGATGGGGTTAAGGTTACTTGGTAACTTCTAAGAGATGCATTTCTGGAGAAGTATTTTCCAGAGGATGTGCATGGGAAAAAGGAGATTGAATTTCTTGAGTTGAAGAAGGGTAATGGAATTGTGGCTGAGTATGCTGCAAAGTTTGAGGATTGGTTTAATTTTTGTCCTCATTACAACACTGCTAATGCTAAAAGATCTAAGTGTCTTATGTTTGTGAATGGTTTGAGACCTGAAATTAAGAAGGCTATGGGTTATCAGCAAATTACTAGATTTTCTGAGCTGGTTAACAAGAGTAGGATTTATGATGAGGATAGTTAAGGTAGTGCAGCTTACTATAAGGCTTTTCATGATAATAAGGGAAAGGGGAAATTTAGAGGGAAGCCGTATGTTACTCCTACTGGTAAAGGGAAACAAAAAGCTAGTGATGACAAGAAGCTGCGTGGGAGGGAGCTTCTACTCCATTTAGGTGCTTCAAGTGTGGTGTCGAAGGACATCGTGTTTCTGGTTGTACAAGTCTTAACGTGAAGTGTTTCAAGTATGGCAAGCTAGGTCATAAGTCTAATGATTGCAAATGTGTTTCAAGTGTGACTTGCTACAACTGTGGTGAGCAAGGTCACATTAATTCCAAGTGTGAGAAGCCGAAGAATGACCAAGCTAGAGGGAAAGTTTTTTCTCTATCTGGTTCTAAGACTGTTGCTGAGGATAGACTAATCTGAGGTACATGCTTTATTAATGGTACATATTTGATTGCTTTTATTGATACTGTCGCGACACATTATTTCATTTTTTTTGGATTGTGTTAAGAGACTGAATATTGAGTTATCTGATATGAAAGGAAGTATGGTTATTGACACTCCTTCTATGGGTTCAGTGACTACTTTATATGTGTGTTTGAATTGTCCATTGAGTATTTTTGGTAAAGAATTTGGAGTTAATTTAGTGTGTCTTCCATTAGATTAACTTGATGTTATTCTTGGGATGAAATGGTTGGAATACAATCATGTTTATATCAATTGTTTTAACAAGAAGATTATATTTCTTGATTCTAGTATTGAGAGAGATTTGTTTATGTCAGCCAAGCAAGTGAATGAGCCTGTGCAGGATGATGAAGTGTTGTTAGTTTTGATGGCAACATTGAATGTTGATGGGAAACAAATGATTGGTGAATTATCAATAGTTCATGATTTTACTGAGGTATTTCCTGATGATGTAAGTGATTTACCGCCATAGCGTGAGGTGGAGTTTGTGATCGATTTAATTACAGGA